ATATACTTTGCCCATTTTTCCATTATGCTTCCTTTCTCCTTATTGGTCTTTGATATCAGGGTAATAGCAGCAGCTGATTTCTAACATTTCTGAGTGTTAGAAGCCAGGCCTTGTTCTAGGTGTTTTATGTTGACTCCCACCCAACGAGGTAAGTGCTAATACCATCCTTATTTTTCAAACGAGGCATCTGAGGCACACACAGGTTAAGTAACTTACCTAAGGTAACATAACTAGTACATTTGCTATATTAAACAGATTAACAGTCATCATTCATATTATATAGACCATTAACCTATGAACATGTGTGTTGAAACTGCGTTCCTTGGCTTATCCTTCATCATTTAATTTTATCTGTAGTGGTTTTTGCCTGCTAAGATTGCTTGACTCTATTGCCATTAAATAAATTGGCTTTTCTTTTATAGTTTCTGCTTTTGATATCTTGACCACCTGAAGAAGAATATTTTAAATAAATATAATTAAAACACATACAAACATTCAGACAGTATAAAAGGATACAAAATAAAGAGCTAAATTATCTTTTCCCCCTTTGTATAAATCATGGTCCTACATAGCAAAAGTATCTCTTTTTAAGCATTTATGTTTTTGTTTCTTCTGATGGTTGCCCTATGACTCTAAATAATATGCACATAACTCCATTTCTTGATTTATGAACTCCACAGAGTATATATGGATTTCTTACTATGAGAGATGTGGCATTTTAGTTAACATATCCCTTTCTTTCCCTCTCCCCTCCTCCACTTAACTTCCATGAGTAATACCAATTTTGGTTGTGAGTACCTTTATAACATTAAGTAATATACTTCAATCTCTATTTCTTGATTTATCAACTTTAGACAGTATGCCTTAACTAAGTGGTTCATTCCTAATAGGGGAAGTCACATGGAAAAATGGTTATTCTCTATTTTCCTTGGATCATAAAATGCCATATTTATGAAGGAATGCTTCATTAGAAGCAGGTCAATCTTTAGTCATTTTAATGAAACCAGAGAGTTCTGTGTAAGTGGAATGAAATATATTGATATAAATGATTATATAAATTATAATAAGTATATATATATTAATGTAGCATAGATTACATAGATTGTATAGATTATAGAGCCTTTCCCACCATATTGCTTTATTTATTGTTCAGAATAATTTTGTAATGTATGTAGAACAACTATTACATTTTGTAGGTAAGGAAACAAGCATGGAGAGTCTATGGCCATATAAAGTCACTGTCCTGGTCTTCTAGGTTTTATTTTGTTTCTGTCCAGCATCCAATTTTCCTTTTTTGTGGCAATATTAGTCTGAGCAATAAACCCATCTTTCGCCAGGCTTAGTTCATGTGTTTCCAAGTGAAACTGATTACAGCCTTGAACTCGTGAAGCATGTGACTTAGACCTGAGCCAATAAGTGCGGTATATCTCCCTGGCCACAAGTGGGTCTGGAATGGCATCAGAATCTGTCAGGTGGACTAAGACTCAGGCTGGGAATAATGCGACAAAGCTTCTTGCTCTATTGTCCTGAAGAAAGTTATAGCCCTGGCAGATGCTGGCAGCCGTCTTGTGACCAGGCGAGGGAGCTAACCCTGAGGAAGCTGAATGAGGAAAGCAAGAGTCCTGCTCATTTCACTGGATCCTTTCCTGAGCCATTTCTACTCCCGCTTTCAGTTACATCCGCCAACACCAACACAGATTCCTTTCTGTTTACTCCAGTTTGGGGTGGTTTCCTGACAACTATAACAATTGTACAGTTAATTCCTGGCAATCCTGACACCGGCTCTCTTGACTTAAACCTTGGGGTCTTTCTACTCTACCGTGCTGCCTCTAAAAGTAATGCCTTTGTTTAGGATTCAAAAACACACATCCTTCAAGACCTCTTCAGTATATCTTTTGCCTTCCTCCATAGCCTATTAAACAATCTTTAGAAATGCAAATCCGTCATGTGGAATTCATTCACTCAGGAACCAGTACGCATACATGTTTGGACACGACATTCCCTATATACTTGAAACAATAGTATGGGTCAGAGACAAGGTAATTGCAAACTTTTCTGTTAAATACAGTTACTTTTATTTTAAGAGGAACAATTCTGGATCACTTTAAGCCATAGGGACACCATCCACCACCTACTGCTGTGTACAAGAGTTGTGGTCATCAAATTCAATTATGTGTTAGTTGTCTGAGGTTCAGAACACATTTAACCTAAGAAACAGTATTATAATTAGTCATCTGCTTCTTCGACTAGCATGGAAAAGCTGATTTAATCTAAAATGTGGCTAAATTACTGGACATTTGAATGAAAATACTAGGGCATAGTATTCTCACACTAACAATTAAAATTTAAAAAATAATAAAACTGAAGAGGGTGGTTCTTAAACAAGGAGGTTTGCTGGTGGAAGATGGGAAGGTAAATGAAAGTGTGTGGCCATTCCAAAGGGGTTCTGGAAGCACTGCAAAGGGTGATGATTTTGGTCATTTATTATACTTGATTTCACATCAAAATGTATAACTTTTCTTTTCCATGGTTCAAGAAGAGCTCTACCACTATTCTTAAACTTCAAAACCACACACAGGTTGAACTAAGAAGAGGAAAAACAAAAGAGGTTTTCATTTGTTCTTTTAATATGCCTTTCAAGTACATAGACTATCTACAAAAAGTTACTACCTAGGAAGGCAAACCTATGCGTGAACCCAAGGTTGCACTGCCCTTCTGGAAGGGAATTGATGGAGGCACGTGCAGGAGTGGGTGGGGGCTTAGCATAGGGACTATTGGTTCCCAAAGGCAGAGACTGGGGTAAGGGGTAAAAGACTTGATTAGGCAGAAACAGAAGCTGAGGGGGAGGGAACTTCGTGTGTGTGAAGGCATGAAGTCACCCGCAGAGTTGTGTCAGGGCACTAGGGGCTCCTATGGGAGAGAAAAACGGAGAGACAAAAGGAGAGACATATGGAGAGACAAATGTTTGAACTTCTGGTCTAAAAGTCATGGAAAACTTTTAAATAGGGCTTTTCTAAGGGAACTAGAAGATAGTTGGAAGAGAAGAGTGTGCGTTGGGGCGTTAAAAGGAGACGGAATATGTATGTGTACGTAGATGTATAAAAAGAGATTTTCTTATGTGCTGTAAACTGCATTTAAGAAGCAAGTGAGAAAAGTGAAGAGTACAACATGTGGCAAGTTGTGCAAGGTGGAGGAAGCGGTCAGCAACAGACAGCCCGTGGACCAATAGTCCAGACCCAGGACAGGGCAGGTACAAACCACTCAGTAGAGCTCACGGAAAGGGCTAGTGGGGTCCAAATGCACCAGGCGGAAGAAAGAGCCTGCAGATTCGAATGTGTGGAAGTTTCCTGTCAAGAATTCCTAATTTAGGATTACCTTTGTTTTAAAGGCGGAACTCATTGGGGTCACTCTGCACGATACCTGAATTGCCAAAGCTGGGAAGCACAAGAATTCAGCTGGAATGGCAAGCGATCTCACCACGGTGGGAAATACATTTATTCAGACACGCAGCGCATGGGTAGTGGGGTGGGAGAGGCACTGCCAGTAAGAACCGCATATTGACCTGAAGGGGTACTAAATAGACTGTTTCATATGCCCCCGGGCTTGTGCTCAACAGCATCAACACTCATCCTTGGAGTCTACATTTTTAATGAAAAGCTACTGTGAATGGTAGTGGTGACAGTGGAAAGGCCAAACCTTCCCTTGGCTGTAGCTGTGATTCTTTCCCAAGCTCATTTGCACTCTAGTGGTTTTGATTTGCTTGGCCTTTTACAACTTGGCAGCTCAGGAAGTGAAAACGAGGGACTCAGCAGATTTTTAAAAATTTTTACTCCAAATGTTCCTTTAATGCTAGTATTTCTTGGACAGAGAGTCCTGATGTCCTCATTAATTGTTCTCGGTGTTTCTTTAAAAGCATCCTTTAAGATCTGTGAATCTGCCGTGGCTTTTGCTCTGAGCTTGCACTCACCGATATTTTCCTTTAATGTAGGAAAGGCACTTCTTGGTGGACAGGTGAAATGTAAGTTTCTTTGGAGACTCTTGCTTGAAAGTTGTTGAATTCAGTGGCAACTTGAGGGGGGTAGCCTAAAGAAATGTCAGCCGGCAGGAAAGAGGAGTGCTGCTCTTGTTTCCTACTCCCCTCTGCGAGATCTGACTTTTAAAAACCCTTTGTTCCTTCGCAGTACATTTTCAAATGCATTTGAAGTAATTAACACCTTGAATAGAATCCCGTTGTCACATTTAATTTTCAGATAGCTACTTTCCTTTGGGGTGTTTGACAGTTGCCCAAAATGTTGGTCTTAATCTAAAAGCAAGAAGAGACCTCTGACACAGTGAAAACCACCAAAGTGGCATTTATTAAATATAAATGGTAAGTGTCTAAATGGGAGGTGAGGAAGCAGCACTAGTTCTCATCTCAAAAAGAAAATTCTTCCAGGACAAAGGGAAATTTACATTAGCTCTTAGCTGCAGCTCCATCAGGTTCACTTGTTACGTGATGACTTGAAGATGTATGGGTTCTATAACACATTACATTTGCACTGAGAAATAGAGTATTCTGACTCTCAAGTTCTATCTTCAGTTTGCCAAATTTACTATAAATACAATGGTTCCTATTAGTCTATTATCTGGAAAATGACTTGTATAAGGAAAAAAATTAAATGATATTGATTTGAAATGAAGAAAGTCCATTTATGTGCATTTTAGGAACCCCAAATGAGTCAGCTAAATATATGCACTGAGAAAAAATAATGTTACCCTCTGGGTAGTATCTTGTAATAGGCTGGAAACATGAGACTCATTAATAGTGTCAGAAATTAGGTGCCTAATGAATTGTACCCATTATTGTAGACTTTCTGTGGTAACAATTCCTTAAAAGCTAGAAATTGCCTGCATCTATATGACACAAGAGAAAAGATACTATTAAAGCCACTAGGAATTATCACAGAGTAGAAGCATATTTCACATGGTCAAGGAAACATAAGCCAAGCACTGGTACTTACTATGTGAGGACTATGGCTACTGCATCATTCAATACACTCTCCCCAAACAAGAGTGTGTACAGGTCGAGGTCGACGTGCAGTTCATGGAAAATGGCCAGCACCGTCACTGGGAAGAAACACACACAAATATGCAGAGTTAGCTGGGACACAGCCATGGACTTGTCCTTGGTTGTGGTCACTTCTAAAGGGTATTCATTAAATGCTTATCTTCTCAAATCCATCCTCTATACCCATACCGGACCTTTATTGAAAAAATAATCTGATCATTCACTCCCCTGCTTAGTGATTTCTCTGGGCTCCCCACTGCTAACAGAGGAAGTTGGAGCTCCTTGGGACAAGTCTTCCATAATCTGCACCCTGTTTACCCTCTAGCCTCTTGCTTGGCACCCCCTGCCCACCCTTTGCTGCCTCACTCAAGCCACATTGAACTTGCCATAATTTCCCAAATACATCGTGTAGTTTTTCAATTACTTTTGCATTTTGATTCACTTTACCAGGTCAGCAATTTCTTTCTCATCCACGTAGTATCATTCCCCCCATTCCTTAAATACATAAGTGTGCACACACACACACACACATGCACACACTTCTTGGTACAAAAAAACTTTATTCAACCTTTAAAAGCCTCTCAAGTGTCCCGCCAGCCCCCTGAGACCCTGCTCACTCATTTTTGATCCCAACTTTGGATCAAATTACGGAACTTATCACAATAGAGACTGTGAGCTCCCTGGGGATAGGGCCCCTCTTTGCAACACAGGGTACTTGGCACATGCTCAGTAAGTGTTTGATGTGTGAATGACTAAGTGAATGAATGAATGGGTGAATGAATGAAAATTGTTGCAGTGGCCTACTCCTGTGAAGGGAGAGGTGTTTGGCACCTTGCTCTCATTCTCCCCTGAGATCACACTCATCTATAAAGATGGACTCAGTGTTCCTGAGAGCAGGACCTAAGGACTTGCGTCTGGCAGCTTGTTGTATGGAGCCTCTGGGAGTACATCAAGACAGTAAATATTCACACATCGATTATCTGTTTTCATCAAAACTATTTGGTGACTTGATATTTGAAAAGTTATGCAAAGTGTGAAGAGCAATCATTAGGAAAATGATCCATTGAGTTGATTGCCACAGGGGGAAAGAGGGTAGTTGAAGATGATACTGACAGTAAATTTTTAAAGCAGAGTGGGCATTTTCATTTCTCTTCTTTCTTTTCCTATTTTATGGACCGTGAGGCTGGTAACTACGTTGTATAAGAGAGTGCTATGGGGAAGAAAAGCTGAGCTGGAAGGTCTTGTAAGTAGGGTCCAGAAGTTTGGCGCTCGTCCTCTGCAATGGGGAGCCATGGGAGGGTTTGTTAGAAGAGTGACACAAGCTGATTTCAACTTTGGAAATAAAGCCCAGGCAGCAGAGCAGAGGGCAGGATGGACATGTCGCTGGAGGCTTTCCCAAATGTTCTGGCAAGAGGTGAGTTGTACCGACGAGAAGAGTCCTAGATTCAGGCTCCCAACTCCTGCCCATCCTGCTCTGTCCTGCACATTGAAGGGGTTCAGAACAGGCCTCTCCAAGATGGCACTTTGGCACGTGGAATATTTTGAGCTAAAGGCGATCGAGACCCTGTGGGCTCAAGAGAAACTTTTACCTCTCCCTTAAAGAAGTTAAATTGGGGGCCATGCTCATAATAAGAGTTATTACCAGAAATGAATTTTTATGCCTATCTGTACGGCAGAGCAAACCTCTAATTACTGAACATCTGCTCTTCTTATAGTCCTAATCAATTACCCTTCTCCACCTAAAGCCTCAGGCCCCTATCCTATTCCTTAGCTCAAGATGCCATAAATACCTCATTTTACCTTCTTGTCTCTGAAGCTTTCACTTATGTGGGGTCTCTGACTCTCTTATATGTGTGGGGTTCCCATACATAGGAAATTATATTTGATTTTCTCCTGTTAACCTGTCCCATGTCAATTTAATTCTTAGACCAGCCAGAAGAACCTAGAATGGTACAGGAAAATTTCTTCCTCCCCCACAACATCTATCAGCCTGGGTTCTGATAGGTCCATGACCACAGTGCTTTGTACTTTACTTATTCACTGGTTCTCATCTTCCCTGTGTGTCACTAGCCCTTAGCACAGTGCCGGAATATAGTAAACCTTTAATGAGTAAGTGAATAAAAAGTAATGTCAGGGTGGGTAGAGCAGAGGAGACAGCGCTCCCGAGATATTTGGGACGGAGAATTGGTGGGTCTTGGTGCTTGACAGACAGCAAGGAGTGCCTCTGGGTTTCATTCCTGGGCAACTGGTAGACGGGAGTGCATAAGGGAAATTAGTTTGTAGACAGAGGAATACAGTAAGTTTGGTGTTGGACATGTTGACCTAAGTAGCCAGGTGGAATTTCAAGAGGAAATTTCAATAAGAAAGCTAGAAATAAAAGACTGGAACTATACAGAGTTAAGGTAGAAGAAAGAATTTGGAGGTTATAAGCATACAGATGGAACATAAAGCCATGAGAGTGGCTGAAATTGCCTGGGCAAAGTATATAGAAAGAGGAGAGAGTTGATGAGAGATCCTTGGGGAACAATTAGAGCTAAGGGGTGAGTGGAGAAAAGGAAGCATGAAATACACATATGGTATATTTGCCAAATCTAACTCTAAGCATGGATAAGTCAGCTGGAAACCATTTCCATCATGAATTTCTGTAAATAGATTTTTACTTACTAAAAATTATCCTAGAGGAAGGAGTACTGAACTCAACAGCTAGCTTTGGGACAGAAGAAACAACAGAAATAAAATGTCATGAATTGGCATGACAATTAGCCAGATCCCATTTTAGCAGGCATAGAATAAATTTTATTATTCCTGCTGAAAAGGTGCTTAATCATGACAGACAAAATGGCAGAGATGTACTCTCTACTAGTGTGTAGCTAGTATTTGCCACAACCCTTAGCCTTTGCAGGTGGTAGTGGGAGGTGGGTAGCAATTACTTCTGCTGGGTAATCTTTTTCTCCTTCTTGGATGGAGTCAAGACCCTGCATCTAATTGAAACAAAGAAGCTTCAATTGGGGGCTTTAATTGACAGCATTTTCCTTTTGCTAGGATCTTGTGGAATAAAAGTAAAGTTATACTTAAACTAGAAAATTATATCTTGGCAGCTCTATTGTTGACTTTAGTCTCTGTAGCTGTTTATTTGTATTTCCAAGCTCTGATGAGGACTTGCAGTCATCTGCACTCCCAGGGAGGTTTCCTAGGCTCACGAATAGAGATGTAAGGCCCTGGGTTCCTTTCTCTACTTTTCCAGTTACGGAGTCCACTTTGTGCTGGGATAGACTCTGCATCTTTCCAGGGAGAGCTTTGGGCCTTTGGAGGGACAGGCTTTTAATTGAATATCCAGTTTTGTACAAAACTGTTTTGACATTCCCACAATTCCTTTTGCAAGAAGAACTGAACTCCACTTCATAAACAGTATCCCACACAAAAGAGAAAGCTATGACTTTGCACATTCCTATCTACCCTGTGAAGAAATGGGACAGCTTTGAAATAAAGCAAGCCAGTGTGTCCTACAAGAGGGAGTATTTGCTGGGACCACAAATGAGTTGAATAGGTGAGTCAGGAAATTAGCCACCCACTCTTGCTGCTAAGTTTGAAGCTTTTGAAAAACTCATTTAATTAACTCGCTGGCAGGGCTCAATCTTACACACAATGTCAAGACACTTGGTGGCACCTTCCCAGGAGAGAATCTCTTGGAACAGCTGTGGACATGCTCACACCAGCCCTGCCCACACCTTGCTGGGTTTGTGAGGACAACCCAGGCTCAAGGATAGGCTAAAAAGCAATGCCTATTTAGCTGAGCCTTCTTATGATGGAGAGAACACTCTAGACACCATGTGGATAGGAAGGGGAGAAGACACGATCCAATTTCTTAAACCTCTGATTTTATCAGGAGATTTAGTCCTTTTTCTCATTGTCGTATTTCATTCTACTCATGTCTTAGTGGCAAGTTCTAATGCTCCACCTGGTCTTGGGGCTCCTTCTCCTCCACACACTCTCTTCTCACCTGCCTGTTCAGCTAGAGAAAAATCCACTTTGTCTCTCAAATTGGTATTAAGGGATACAAGCACATGTAAACTTACACTCAAATAAATAAGCACACATACACAAGCGCTCACACAACTACCCCCAGGTAAGAGCAGTGGATGATTGAGAAATGCCATTGAATCATTGGAGAGATCTGAGAAAATAGTGTCAGCAAGTCAAACAGCAGGGGAATGGGGGGGAATGAATGATGAGGCCTGCACTTCTGAGAAGCTGGTGATAAGGGATGGAGAGAGAAAAAACAGTCGCCTACAGGGTAGAAAGCCCAGGGAGGCTTTCTCTTAGGTTCCTTGTTTATAGGTTGAGTGGATAAGCCAGAGGAAAGACAGCTGAAGACAGAGGGAAAACAAGGAAGACTTCTGGATCAAGGTCCAGAGGAGGCAGAGAGCAACTGAGGGGATGAGATAAAGGTAGCTTCCCAGTAAAGCAAGACCATCTGCTGAGAGCAAGGGCAGCAAGGCCTGAGTCAGAGGCTAGAGGAGGGTTGAAAATATCCAGAACATCACTGAAGGGCATGAATTAAAGTTTTATGAAAACTGTTGAGGCCAAATATAAGGTAATTCTCATTCTTCAAGAGAAATACCCTAACAGTGAAGTAATATGATATTTTCATTAATTTCTTAACTAATTCATCATACCAAGAATCTTGCCCCCTACCACAACTCTATTATAGCATCAAAACTAATATTTTCTCAGCTCAAATGTAGTTGCCATACCTGGAGATAAAAATACAGATAATGACTGCCTGCCCTCATCAGTATCTCAATGTGTTGACTCTTAAAAGATGGTCTGCTTTTTTTTTTCTTTTTCTGCTAGCTTTTTAACTGACCACTTTCCTAATGCTCCTTCAGTCACTTCTAAGTGTTCAGGGTGATTTAGTGACAATCCCTTCCCTAGAATCTTCATTAGCAGCTCTCTGACCCATATTTTCCTTGTGTTTTACAGGGAATTTAAATTTCAAGTGATATTTTAATGCAGCAGCTCTCAGCAACCTGGCACAAGATCTGCCTGGGTCTATGAA